CGTAAGGGTGTATCCAAACCACTCCATCCCAGGCCTCCAGAAGCCATGGTAGTGCTTAGTTTGAACTTTGGTTTAACTGGCTTTTCAAACTTTATGTTAAAGAGGTTTAGAAAGCTTTGCTCAACTGGGAGAACAGACACGTTTCAGTGCACACTTTTTTTGATTCTATCAGATTGGAAAGCAGGCAGTTATTTTGTTTGTAGGATCAACTAGGGGTAACACAATGAAGCAGGTCCTAGAGTGGGTCTGCCCTGTCCTGCCACCTCCTGAGAAGGCCCAGTCCCTGGCCGAGGACCATGGCACACAGCGGCACGTGTCCAGGACTAGAATTCAGGGTCCCTGGGTGCCACTGTCAGCCCAGTCCCCAAACCCAGGGAGGGAGAGCTGCACTCAGTTGAGAGAAGAGGGCTGCTGCTGGTGGTGGAGTAAGAATTAGCTCCTAAATCAAGCAAACGTCTTCTGGGCCTGTTTCCCCAACTCTGTGATATTTATGAGACCATCTTCCTAACCACTTGATGTCAAAGATTCAATTAAGGGACTTCCCTGGTGGTCCAGTGGCTAAGACTTTGTGTTCCCAATGCAGGGGACCAAGGTTTGATGCCTTGTCAGGGAACTAGCTCCCACATGCTGCAAGGAAGATTCCATGTGCTACAACTAAGATCCAGTGCAGCCAAAGAAAACAAAAGATTCAACTAAATTAGTACATAGGTCTTTTCAAAGAGGGGCTGATGGGACCAAATCCAGGAGCCCTGAATGAAGTGACCAAAGATTGAGTTCTCCACTGGATACAGTAGTCACTCAATAGTGCCATATTTTCCTGATAGAGATACAAGTCACCCAAACCCATGATTGGTGATGTGCGAAAGTAAAAATAGATGTAAATGTCTTCCAAGTTAAAAAAATAAAATTAGATGAGTACAGAAGTGAAAGCACCGAGAAGCCTGTCCACCTAATTAAACACAGGGAGCACAGCAGTTTCCAGGGGGTGCTCCCTCTGCTGGTCCCTCAGAGGGGGAAGGGCTGAGGCAAGATGTCTGGCTGAGGGGTGCCCAGAGCCTGCTGGGGAGGGTGGGGCTTCCTCACTCCTTCCCCAGCCACAGAGAGGAGAGAAGGCCCACTTCTCCATACAGGAGACAAAAGCACGGGGCCTCCTCTGGTTCTCTCTGGGCCCTCAGGCTCTCAGCTGCCAAGAGAGGAAAGTGTCTCCCTCTGAGTCGGGAGATGGGACTAAGCACGCTCTGTGCTCCTGGCGCCACCCGCACTCCCCACCCTACCACACACACATAGCTGCCAATGCACAGGCACCCTGGGCACTGCCTGAAACTGCCCACATTTCCTGTGGGGCATGGCTCAGTCTTTTCAACTCAGAGCTGAGGTGTGAGCAAGCCCATTTGGCTTCAGGTCTAAAGCCATATTTTCCTTTTAGCCTATTGGTAAAAAAACGAAAAACAAAAACTAGCATCCTTATCTCATTTGACTGTCTCCTGGGCCTTCTTTCTCATTCTGAACTTGAGAGAAAAAATGTTATTTACAGCCTCCTTAGACCTAAACATTTTCCAAGGTAGGAAAAGGTATTCTCAAGTCAGAGACTTTTGAACTCTTTAAAGAAATTAGATAAGGATGCAGAGGCTAACTAAAAATCCATTTACTTGCCCTTGTTTGGAACCATCAACATGGCTCATGATGAACTGTGAGTGGTCTTACATTATGTCTGCTTTAGAAAAGAAATGAAAGGCTAAAGAGTTCAGTTTGTTGTCTTTTAGTTACAGGGCCCAGCTTAGGTCTACAGACAATGGACCTGCAGGTGAAGAGGATGCCCCTGTGGGGACCCTCAGAGAGCCCTGAGCTCACCTCTCTCACTGTTCTCATCACTCTGGGTTGGGCTGTCCATTTGCTGGTCTGTCACCCTTATTATGCCCCACAAGGACTTATCTATTTATTTATTTTACACATGGATGAACAGATGCAGAATCAAAGGGAGAAATGGTCATAGCCTTCAAAGAGGAAGCTCCAGTGAAGCGGAGGCAAGAGAGCACCTTTTCTCCTCGAGGGCTCTGCAAAGGCCACCCCCCGCCCCCAACTCACAACATCCCCCCACCCTGCTGCAACTGGCCACAGGTCTCCATGGAGTCCCCTGGCTGGCTCCATGGGCACTAACTTTGCAAGGTGGAGGGATGAATGTAATCAAGACCTCACTAGTCTCTGCCTCCAGTGGAAAGCTAATGGTTCTTAAAGAATGAAATCCACAGGAACATAGACTCAAGGCAAGGGTCTTTCTGAGGTTAGCGTGCACTGTCTGGTTAGCTTAAATTATTTTTCCAGAACACAGTAGCTTTACTGGACCTTTCAAACAGAAGCTGATGTCTCTGCTTGGTGAGGGAACTGAAGTGGGCTCTGGAGGTGAACTGTCCTGTGCTGGCAATATGGTCCTGGGAAGGTCTCTGAGCTCTGACTCTGGTTCGAAATACAGTTAATGATCTCCCACTCAGAGGGGTATGGCAGAAATGACACAAGTTTTCCAAAAGGAGAATACGTACTATTGGGGCTATATGAGTAGTTTTAGATAGACCTTATGAAAACACTGGGCCAGTACTGATAATCTAGGGGCTTATCAACATCACTGCTTAAAAAGAGAGTAAAATGTCAGATTAGTATAAATGTCAGGTTGGAGTCTGTTTAAAGAAAAATATGAAGTAAAAAGAAAAAATAGTACAGATAGAATACAGAGGAGAGTGTGGCAAAAAACTCTGAAATGGAACTCAAAAGGCTTCTTTGAGAATGCATAGCCCCTGAAACACATGCCTGCCGATAGAAGGTGCTCTAGAAACACTGCCTGTTTTGGTCAATGGTTCATCAAAGCAGGCACCCAGTGAAGGACTGAAGGCCAAGCTAGCACCAGGGCAAAACTGGAAAGAGTTAAAAGAAAGGGGTCTTGGGTTTCCCTGGCCCATCCCCCCTGCCGCTAATCTGTCACCTAATGAAGAAGCTGCGGCACAAGTGAGCTGGCTGGCAGTTCACTTACAGCAAACTGATTAAGAATGTTCAACCAACAGCAGACTGTAGACCTTTCCAGAGAAAATAAATAGAGTGTAGACTGTATGCAAATGTGTTTGTCACTTTGACAGCACGTCTCAATTAAGGCATCTCGCGGCTGTGGGTAGGCTCTGTGGCTGCAGCTGGAAGGGAGAGCCCGCTGCATGGCTGATACTTGGGGCTTGACCTTAATCCGCATGCATGCATTAAAAAAAAAAACCCTGCCTTCCTGTACACTTGCATAATGCTGGCAGCCACGTGAGGGAAGTGACAAACGGGGAAAAAAAGCCACTTTCATCCTCTCCAGTTTACAGACCTGTGAAGGCACAGACAGCTCTTATTTCAACAGAGTTTGGGGTGGCTTTTTTAATTGTTTATCCCCCACCCGTGCGTGCACACACTCTTATTCTGCATTTAGCTGGGAATGACATTAAAGCATCTCTACTTCTCGCTGAAATGGAAAGAAGGTCTTTCTCCATTTCAAATAGGGCCTCCTTTTTTGTGTTTCGAAAATGGAATGTTTAACACCATGAAATCCCTCTCCCCCGCCCCCTCTTTCTCTGTAATGGGCTCCAAACTCCAGAGAGGGGCTCTTTTCATGGGAAGGTTAGTGTGTGCAGGAATGAGGACAAAGGAAAGCAGGAAGCTGGCTCTGGAATGCCATGCTGGCGACAACCAACCGACCGGGGGCTGCGGTTTCAGCAAGCACAGTCAGGGAACTAGGGTGCAGATTCCTCCAGCAAGGCTTGAACCCCAGGAAGAGGCAGCTCCTTGGGGTGCAAACACCGATGCAATTTGAAGATAATCATTAATCAAGTGAGCACTGCCCTGTGGATGCCTCTTTCCTATACTACATTTCAATTTTTATAACATCCCCTTAAAGTGTAAAATCAGAAAAGGGGGATGGATATCTCCAAGTTTAAGATGTATGAATGTATTATCTAAAAATATTGATTACAGAAGAAGATTCTTACGTTTCAACAAACTCATCCCTCACCATAATAACCCACCGCAACAGTTTCATTAGTTCCCTTCATTTCTAAATAGCTCAAAGTCTGGTACATAGCAGGCACTTGATAAATGTCTGTTAAAAGCAGGACCATTTTAAATGCATGCTTCTAGATCTTTTAGGTGATAACATAGCATCATATTAAAGATAAAATCATGAAGATTATTTTAATCATGCTTCATCTAATTAATGGTTAAGAATCAAGTGACTTAAGAACGAATAACCCTGCAAATTCTTATTATAGTCATAGCGTGCTAACAGAGCCATTTCTCACAAATCAAGAAATTATGACTTTGGCTCATCAAGAGAGTCAATTCAAGAGAAGTAGAGGAGGGTATACAATGTTTTTCAACCAAAAATATAATCACTGATAGGACATGGATAAGAAAAATTTCAGTTTCTGTTTTACTTAAGAGGAAAAAAAAAAAAAATCAAACAACCGAACAATGTTTTAAATGCTCAGGTTTAAAAAAGCTGGTTATAGAATAGGATCACGAGAACTATAGTGCGGGTGTTTACTCTGAGAAGTACGACCCCCAATATTGATTTTCAGGAAGTATATTAATAAAGAACTCCTAATTGATTTTTTAAGACTTCACTTGTTGTCTTTTATTTGAAGGTGCAAAGAAGGGCCTGGGATGCTGAAGCGTTCTAATGAGATGCTTAGCTAACAGAGGCACCTTAAACCGAGTGCCTTGGAATGGGGAGGCAGCAGCTGCATTTAATGACTTCACTTAATAGTTGAGCTGGTTTATGACCAGAGCCACACTGTCTTCTCAAAATTTCTGAAAATTCACCTTTTTGGAAACATGCTTCTACCAAGTGAACCTTTGACAATGTGCAGAACTCCATGGAGTTTTTGTTTTGTCAGAGAGCCAAAATGAAAAACTTACATATGTTATATCGTCCACTAAAACATAACAGAAAGCCCAGGTCAGTCAAGGGGCCAGGTACATACCTGTCCAAAGTGGACTGTGATTGGCCTCCGGTCTTCTCGGAACTTGGGGTCCTTGGCCTCTACCAGTGGGGACGGCGCAGTCTTTGGCAGCTGCTCTTCTGTGGTGGGGGCACAGCCATTCTCAGTGATGTCCTGCAGGGAGAAATCCCGTCCGGGGGTTGGTTTCTGGGTTATGGCCCTGCCATGAGCACAGGGGTTCTTTCCCATCCTACTGCTAAGATGCCTGCTGGAGAACCCCCTCTCGGACCCTCCTGCTAGAGATGGAGGAAATGGAAGGCTAACTTGGCCCTTTCACTTAGGGAAACCAAAACCATGCACATTACATTATAAAGACAACATAATAATTCACAATAGTGGGGAAGATCTTTCCTCCTGCTACCTCACACAGTTATTTTAATTTTTATATATTCACTCTGTCCACATGCAGGCATTTGAAAATTACTTGCAATCATAACTCATGCATAATTTTACATTCTGTTTCTTCTGTTATAAACATTTCCATGGTACAATACAGTCATTTGAATGATCATTTTAATGGATACATAATATTTCATTGAGCAGATACTCAATAATTTAATAAACCATTTTTACTACTACTAGGCATTTAGATTGCTCCTAATTTTTTTTTCTTAAACTTTCTAAACAGCACAGGGATAAACACTGCCATCTTTCTTTTGGATTAATTCTTTAACAGAAATCCCTAGGAATGCAATTGCTCAATCAAAAGATATAAACATTTTTAAGGCTTTTTATTCATTCTACCAAATTGCTTTCCAATTTACACCAACTACCAGCAATGGATGTATTATCAGTTTCACCGTGTGTGTTAGCCATACCGTTTTAAAAATGTATTGCTAATTTAAGAGGTGAAAAGCTAGACCTTGCTGTTGTTTTAATTTGCATGACTTTGATGATTTGTGAGTGTGGACATTTTCTCTGCATTTGTACACTGATGACGTTACTGTTTGTGAAAACCGTGTGTTCCTGCTCTCTCCTGCTTAGCCCTAGTCTTTTCAGCAGAGAATGCAGAAAGACACTTAAGTCTGAGTTAGGATTCTATGACCTGGAGAAAATTTAGGGAGCCAGTGTCATCTTTTTTTTAAATTTAGAAGTTCACATTTAATTTGTGCTTGTGATAAATAAAGTCAAATTTTAAGGTAAAGAAAAACCCCAACGTGCAAAAAGCAGTGATTCTCCTTTCCCTAACGCTGGCAGCTGACTATACCCGTGGGTCTTTCGGGATGTGGATGGTGCCAACTTGTGCAGTGTAGATCATATGGCTTTATTCAAGTCAAGAAAGTTGCTTAAATCTTCATTTGAGCAAGGCAGAGAATAGATGTACAAGTAAAAAACATTTAAATCATTTTTTTTTAACTAAGTAAAAATAACTCACAGTTAGAATAAAATAATAAATACAGACAGAGGATGAGATGGTTGGATGGTATCACTGACTTGATAGACATGAGTTTGAGCAAGCTCTGGGAGTTGGTGATAGACAGGGAAGCCTGGTGTGCTGCAGTCCATGGAGTTGCAAAGAGACGACTGAGCGACTGAACTGAACTATTTTCATTGCAAAAACAAATACACATTTTGGTCAACAAGATATATACCTTTGGTACTCATTAAATTCTGCACATAAAAGACTTGACAATTGATTGTTCTTATTGAGTTAAATAGAGAGAATGGTGGCATGTGGAGGAAAGTGATCCCTTACTAAATAATAATGCATTAAAGAAGAAATACGGAACATCTTTGAGCCTCAGTCTCCTCACCTATAAAATGAAGCTATGGTAGCTATGAGGGATAAAGATGATTAAGCAACATAAATGTCTGGAACGTTTTTCCTCAGGAGTGTCCTATGTATGGTACTCAATAATAATAACTGAGTACCTACTAATGAGGCACTCAACAAACTATAGGGAGTAAATAAACTATGGTGGTTTAGTCACTAAGTCGTGTCCAACTCTTGTGACCACACGGACTAAAGCCTGCCAGGCTCCTCTGTCCATGGGATTCTCCAGGCAAGAATACTGGAGCGGGTTGCCATTTCCTTCTCCAGGAAATCTTCCCAACCCAGGAATCAAACCCAGGTCTCCTGCACTGCAGGCAGATTCTTTACTGACCAAGTTACAATGGAAGCCCCAAATCAACTATACTTTAATAAAAATAAATAAACAATAGGGATTGCTCCCCCACCCCTCCTCTCTATATATTCAACTCCACACCTAGCGGAGCCTCTGTGCTGCTTGGTAATAACACATAGAGATGGTGACCTCTTGGTTTTGCTAGGTAGGGCTTGCACCAAGTGGCCCCTGAGTCTCAGCTTGGCTGAGGCTCAGCGATGAGAGAAGCTGCCGCCAGCCAATTAGAAACAGCTCTCTTGGAAAGGGGCTGCCCAAAGGTGCTCAGGTCAAGTGGAACAAAGAGAGGGAGGGACTCCTCTGTGCCAGAAAGTAACAGAGGGCACAAGGGGCATTATGGATTCAGCAGGGTTACCGAGAGGACATACATAAGAGGTTAAATAAAGCCAAACAAAACAATTCACTTTTAGTTCTGGAAAAGTACTGCACTGTTGTGACTGGTTGGGGAGAAAAATAAAGACATGAAGAAGTAAGGTAAGCTGGTAAGAAAATACTGAGAGTAATGAAAACTATAAGATGATAACTATTTTTAAAAATGTCTGTGGTAGTTTTGGGCAAAGTGTCTTAGCTTAAATTTTTAAGTTAACATTTCAAGTAAAAATGTCCTAGGTTTTGCTTTTACCATTAACTAGCTTTTTGATCTTTCCAACTCACTCAACCTCTCTGTACCTATTTCTTTATTTTTACAACGGGGAGACCACCATCTGCTTGGCAAACTTCAAAGCTGCTAAGAGAATGGGTTAAATGAGATGAGATGTGAGGAAGCTTTGAAAAATGTCTAAGTCCTGTGCAAATTGAACACGAGACTTATTCCCTGCAAAATGGAAAAAGCACCATCTAAAAGGAAGAGCTTCCCTGTACTGAGTGCCTACTACTTGCAGTCACTTCTCCAGACCCTTGACCTTCACTATCACACTTAGTTTCCACAAGAACCACAAGGTAAATGGGATTACCGCTCTTTTATAGGTGAGGAAACAGGGCTCAGAGAGGGCAAGTCACCCAAGGCCACACAGCTAGAAGCAGAGGAGCCCAGGGCAATGTGATTTATACCTCATGGACCCATGACAACAGCACAGGAGAAGGTATTCTGAGTCAAGGAGGTGCTCAAAAACTCATCAGATGTGACCTTGTCCTCAGGAACCCCTATCACAACAAATCGTTGTTGAATGGAACATTTGGAAGCCAAATGTGTCCAGTATACACATGTGCTTGTGCATCAATATGTATGCTAATTTTCTTTAGTTAGAAGACCCAAAGGTGCCCAAGATTTCTTACAAAGTCCTGGGGCTCGCCCCACTAATCTGTTAACTTCTCCACTATTTCTTTCACCTGGGGTAGGAAAACTGCTTCCTCCCAGGTTCCTAGAGAGCAGAGAGGGAGAAGTCCCAGTCAGGAAAGAAATAGGGCCAGTTCACACCCTCTCTTGTAGGTACCAGCAGAGATCTTACACACTGCATGAATCCAAAAACACAATGCTTGATACCTGTGATTAAATAAATTGTCTTTTAAGAATTAACCGAGATGCCATCAGCAAAGAGTATGGTAAAACTCTCATACTCTTCTGGTGGGAACGTAAGCTGCAATTCCTATCAAAATCCTAAAAGAGGAAAGAGCCTCTGGCCCACTAGGTCTACTTTCAGAAATTTATCCAGATGAAATAATTAAGAATTCCTGCAAGGCTTACCTGTGAGGATGTTTGCCTAGAAAACATTGGAACTAACTAAAGCATCTAGCAATGGGATTAAAGAATGTATGTATGTCACTGTATATAGCCATTTAAAACAACAACATGTGCAAGAAACATTTAGTGTTTTGAGAAATGGTCAGGATACTGTGAGTGAAAATAGAGGTTATAAAATTTCCTTTTTTTCTTGTTGATTTGTTGAATTTTCTCCACAATTTTTTTTTTTTTTTGGCAAATGCTCAAAATGTCCTTAAAAACAAAAAATCAAGAAGGTAACAGGCAGGATAAATCTGTTCCTTCCTGAAGAGTCGCACAGGAGGAAGACACTAGATGGAGCTGCAGGGAAGAGGCCGCTGAAGGTTGGCAGATTTCTCCCACAGCCCTGTTCAGAGCTGGGAGATTGTTAGTTCCCATCCCTTGGTCAACAAAGGAATCAGAAAAGAATACAATTTCTATCACCTTCCCCAGGCTGGAATCAGAGATCATGCCTGGGATCTAATCTCCATTTGTCTGTGGAGAAGGCAGGGACCGAGTCCCTAGGAGGAGTCCCAAGACGGGAACCCAGAAGAAGGAAGGGGATTGGCGTGGTGTTGGGTGGGAGCTGGGCTATATGACTTCATGAGGCAGAGATTCCAGGAGAACATTCCTGGCCCAGGGGAAGTGGGGAGCAGGATGCCCGGAGGACTACTCTGGTGGCTGTGTGGAGGACGAAAAGGGAGTGGCTCCCAGCCCAGCCATGCTCCCCAGGTACACACACGAGTGTGTGGGCAGACCAGCCACGCCAGATGTGGGACAGAAGATAGACAGGATGGAATCTCCCATTTGCCAAATGGCTACTATGTGTTGCTATTTAAACCCATTATTTCTTCTAGTCCTTGCAACAGTCCAGTAAAAATCTCTATTTCCTCTACTTTATAAGTGAGAAAAACTGGCAGGACTGAACCTGGCTTATCTGTCTGCTTCAGAGGCCCCAAAGCCACATCACAGAGTGAGAGGTTTGAAGGCTCTCGGGGGTGTGAGGCTGGGGCCTCCTGTCTCTGACTCAGCTTCCTGGTCTCTACGTTTGGATTTGTACAGTGTCCTTTTCCAGTCTACTTCACGCTACAGAAAATGCAAACTACAGTATGAATACTGATAGCAAAATAGCATCCAGTGTTGGAATTTCTGTGATTTGAGGCTGCAGCGGAGACAGGGAGCTGACAGTTGTGTGATACGGTGTGAAAATGTCTGTCCTACAAGAGTCTACCTGGGTCTCCCAGCCCCAAAGGTGCTGCCTCACTCCTTTTAATACACTAGGAAATGTTTCACCAGAAACTCAGATCTTCGCTGACTCAGCTATGAATCTGCTCCTTTCAATCACACAGACTCTGAATCAACAAGCTTGATTTATCTTGAAAAGATCAAATATTTAAAAAGGGCTGTGAGGGAATTCCTGGCAGTCCACTGGTTTGGATTTGGCCCTTTCACAGCTGCGGCCTGGGCCGGGTTCAATCCCTGGTCGGGGAACTAAGATCCTGCAAGCTGCATGGTGTGGCCAAAAAATGAAAAAAAGGCTGTGAAACGGGTCCATTTGACTCAATCATTTTAATTTTATACTGAAGAAAAAAATATAATTTTTTAGGGGTTCTCCAATAGGCAAAAAAAGAAAAAGAAAGGGAGGCGCATCCTTACATAAATATTTTAATGTTCCTTATAGGAAAGAAGGAATGTGTGAATAGCTACTGTTTTTAAAAGAGGGCATTTGGTGCAGCAGTGTACAGCACTGCAACAGAAGGAGGTTTGTTGAGAACCACAGCCCAGTCATGCAGCATCCTTCCAACAGGCCAGGTCTGGCGGGGAGGGGCTCTGGACGAAAGCACTGATTTTCCCTTTAGAAAGTGATGGCTGGGTAGCATTCCTTGCCATTTCTTCATCCTAATTTTGAGCAAGTTAAACTTCAAAGAAGGCCAAGCTATAGAAGAATTTGACCACCTTGCTCCATTTATCCAGAGAAATGTGTTATCCATCCTTTTTTTGTTGTTGGGCTGAAGCGGAGCAGGTATGGAATAAAAGCTACACTACAGTCTCTATTAACAATTATTTGCCAACGGTCACACAGATACTTTGAAAGCTCCTCTTTCAGAGGCTTTGAAAGTCTGCAGCACAAATGAACGAGGGATGGAGAAGGGCCCTGCTCAGTCATATTAGAGATGGACCTCCACATACCATGTTGACCTCTCCACAGGTCGGCCCCACATTTTCTATTTGCAATTCAAACCCAAGGCAAGAGCGAAGAGGGCAAGGTTGGGTTCTTGATTATATCTGCAGGGTCACCATTGTTATGCAGAGTTAGAGGAGGCCAGGTGGCAACCCAGTACATTTGAAAATTAGGTCTTTGTTGGGAACAGCCTCGATTCTGTAGCAGAGACCAAACTTGAGATGTCTACGTGGGATGCATCCAGGGAGCCATACAGATATGTTGCCACATAAAGGGAAGGTGGCGGGGGGTGGGGGGAAGCCAAGGAAATATTTTCTACTGCAGTGAGAGAGGTCAGACAAAGCCAGATCCTAAATTAGCTCAGGAAAGGGAGCTAGAGCCCTGTGGAAGACCTGGTCCCGTCTGTCCCGAACAATGCTAGAGTCTCAATTACAAAATGGCTCTTCCAAGAACAACTGCAAAATATCAAGTCTGCAGAAATCTGTAAGACCGAAGGGGGGAAAAGTGAAAATTGAAAAGGGTGCACTAATAGATCTGTCAACAGTCCGATGGTGACAAGCCACATTTCTATGAAATGCCTTCACCATTTGTGTCACCTGAAATGTACTGACACTCTCTATAGAACATTATCTCCTGAAGCTATTCTTGAAAAGACTGGCAGGGGGAAGAGGAATAGGGGAGGGAAAACTCTGCCTCAGATACCATCAAGGAGAGGAAAGGGAGATGGCGTGGAGAAGAGTGATCTAGATTGTCTAAGTGAACCTTTGAACAACATCAAAAGCCCTCAGTTTAACTGGTTATTTGCAGAAATTTTACTCATCATAAAAAGAGGATTTTCTTAAGGCCTGATGCTTATGCATACGAGGAAGGAGGCGATGGCCTGCAGAGAACAGATCTGACCAAGGAGGCACATGTGTCCTCTGCCTGAGGAGGGGACCTTTCTCTGCTTCCTCCAAGTAACCTTCTAATACCAGCCCGATGTGGTTATCAAGGAACGAGAGCCTGGTGACAGCTCCGCCCTCCCTGCCCCTCTATTTTACATCTGCAATCCAATTCAGTTACGCGTGACTGGGATAGGAGATAAAAAGGTGTATTTAGGGACTTAAATAACATCCAAGTAAAGGATTCCACCTGCCAGTCTCTGGTGGGGTGCAAAAGACCATAGTTAAGGTCTATCTGAATTTACATTAGCAGGATTTTTATTTCCAGGACTTGAATCTCAGCTGCTAAAAATTCACTCCCAGCTGAAACTAAGAATGTGAATGCTTAGTCAGAGCAAATTATTTTGCAATTAGAGGAATCAATTCCTTTGACCATTTCAAATTAATGAGAGGTCCTTTCTGACTTCCTAAAATTAAAACTGCTTTCAATTTTTTAAAAAACTGCCGAGATAGACAAAGACCCTTATTACCTGGCACATTTTGGGGATAACGAAGTAAGTGATCCCAAACATCTTTAGGAAAACAAAAGATTTGTTTTCCAAATCTTGAAACAAAACTGCCTTGTTTCAAGAAGGCAGTATGAAATACTATAGTGGTAAGAGCACAGACACTGAAGTAGATGAATCTGGAATTGAATCCCAGCTCTGCCAGGCTCCACCAGTGTGACCTTGAGCAAATTACTTCACCTTTGAACTGAGGGTCTCCTTACACAGGATATGAGAATAATACCCCCTAGAGTTGCTCTATGGATTAAATGTGAAAGTTCCTGGCCTGGACCATCCTTAGAAAGTGCTTAATGAAGGGTGGCAATGCTAATACTGATGCTGATATTCATTATAATATAAAAATGCCCTCTCTGTTACAGTAACTTCCCTGCACAAGTCTAGAGAATCAGGTAGGGGCACTCTTAGCCAGGATGCAGTCTGTATGATTTTATATGAGTTTACGGATGGTCCAAGAAGACAATCAGAGTCTTTCCCTGCCCCTTGGGTCTCACACATGAACTGCAAGCAGAGCCTGCAGTGTCCTCAAACCCACGTGCAGGCTGGAAGCATGGCAGTCATTTCCTTGGAGGTGCTTCTTGATTTTGGCTACAACCAGCCCCAGGGCAGAGGTCAGCTGCAGGAGCTGGTAGTGCTGGGGTGGGGAGACCAAGCCAATCTGTATGGACCCTGGTGAAGGGCGGGCCCAGTGGGGTGAGCAGGGGACAGACTGATAGCAGTAACTCTGAACTCGCTTGCCGTTGTGGGTTTAAGCCAGTCTTAATGTTATTTGAAGACAGTTTTTTGTCTGTGAATATTTATAACAGTGTGAAAACTCGCGGACAGCTGGTAATGCATTTTGAAGTGTGCTAACAACACTGTATCAAACAGCCTCTATTGATCACATCGTACTTTTTTGTGGCCACGCATTTCATACACGGTGCTTATACATTTTGAATAAGAACTTCAAGTACCTTTTGCTTCAAGCGGTTTTTCACTTCTTTTATTCCCATTTTTGCATGATCTTTTGCCTGCATGAAAAATTAATTTAAGTTAAGATTCCCCTTCTGTTTCCAGCAGGGACTGTGCTTGATTTCAGTCCATCGTGAATCACCTTCTCTGATTACTAGAAAAAGGAAGGAAAATGGGATCATCAAGTTGAAAACATAATGGCTACGAAAACAAATACAATGTTGAAAGGTTAAAAAAAAGCCCTTAAAGAGGCTACAGAGATTTTATTTTCTGCATTTTGATGGCACTGATTTTTCCCCACCTCTGAAGCCCTGCTTCTGCTCTCTGTAATTATTTATCTCCGCAGCCTGGTGACAGCTACCAGTAAGAGGAGAGCAGCAGCCTCTCCAGCTGCAAGGTTCAGAATATCCACTGCGCTTAACCAGGGCAGGGCTTCAGGACCAATTTTCTGCCCAGGCCAAACAGACACATCGCTGGGTTTTTCTGATGCCATTTCTTAAATTTCATTTCAGCAGACACCCTGGCTTTGACTTTCTGTCATTCTACGATCTGTGTGGTTCTCTTGGCAGCCACCCACCCTGTTAAAATAATTACTATTTAAGCACAGAAAGGACTAACAAAATTAAAAATGGAAATAAAACAAAACCACCCCAGTTAAGTGGCTCGGAGTCAAATTAGGAAGCAGGAGAAACCATGAGAAAAAATACTTGAGGCTCGTAAAAGATGGAGTGTCGGGAACTGGCGTGTTCTCTTATTTTCACTCTGTTGTGGGCACAAGTTTCACAAACAATGCATTTCCTACAGGGCAGTGATGAGAGAGATGATGAAGAATTTGGGACAAAAAATTGGGCATGTGTCCCACCATGAGCACTCTTCAATAACCTGCAGAGCAGCTGCTTTATTCTGACATAATAGCGAGGATACACACAGGAAAGGTCTACCAGAATACCTGAGAGGCCACAGCCTCTGAGTCTTAGGGACAGAGCGCTAGAATTTTAACCACCTCATCTATATTTGAAAAGCTAAAACAAGTAGCCTCCCATTTCTCTATTGCAGCAACTGTGTGCAGGAACATTTTAAATTAAAAAATGTCACTGACCTGGTCATAAAACATCAACACTAAACAATTCTGAGAGCTTTGAGAGCTTTAGGAAATAACACAGCAGCCCCCAAATTAGCTCTGCAACACAGGGTTCAGTCTAAGAGTTTTGTCGTCATGCTCAGGAACAGATCTGTTTGGATCCTGAGACCAAGACCAGTACTTACGAACTTATAGACAGTCTTCATGGCTGGGTTTGCTTTCGTTTTTACAGTGTTCAGAATCGCTCCACTTCCTTTCTATAATAAAAACATCAGTTAGCAATTTGGATTGAAGATATAGTAGGCCAACAGCAACAAAGACCTCTTCTCTTTAATCAAGTTAAGCAACATTTCAGAAGTGTGTAACTTAATTAGAGGAAGAGGCATAGATGGTGACTGGTCCTGGGCAATTAAATTCCGACCACAGCAGAATCCCTATGGGTGGGTGTGGGGGTGGAGGGCGGGGAATGGGGATGGTGGATGGTGATAAACTAGCTGAGGTGGGACCCCAGGCTCAATATTTTGCTTGGCACCTGTCTGGGGGGAAAGCTCATCACAGACTCTCTGAGGCAAAGCTTTCTTTGGAGTGATCTACAAGATATTCTACAAGAAGTCTACAAGAATTTCTTCTCAAGAAATTCTAGTTACCACGGACAACACTAAGATAAGTTTAATACCAATGGATGCTAACACTGAGCTGGGGCAGGAAACTGGGGACCGATGAGGCAAAGTTTTCTGGCTACTGTGACTAACATAAGTCACACACCCTCCTGTCTTCCCCCTGGTTTTCTGTGTTGCTTGTAAGGACTCACGTGGGGAGGCCCGGTTTAGGTTCTGAGGGTACCAAGACACTAGAGGGCTGGTCTCTGTCTTCAAAGACTTCCAGTCCGGGGGGTAAACAGGTGCCACCCAAGGTGGCAAGAACCACGCTGGCCGTGTACACAAGGCAGGTGGCGGCAGCTCACTGTGCAGCAGGGTGGGGAAGGCATCAGAGGATGAAATATCTGGTCCATGAAGGACAAGTAGGAGCTTGTGTTGGGGACAGGGAGGATAAGGACATTCTAGGGACAGGAAGCAGCTCATAAACAAGCGCAGAGGCTGCAGAGCCATGGCATGTTCTGTGAGTAACAACAGTCCGTGCATCACAGGAGGACTGGCGAGCGGAACTGAGAGCCAGATGGGGTCAACCATACAGGGCCAGCATGAGCAGTCCATACTCCAGAGGACTTTTAACCAAGTGCATCACATAATCAGATTTGTGGTGGTTTGGAAAGATATTGGGTTGGCCCAAAAGTTCATTTGGGTTTTTCTGCAACAATCCCAACAGATTTGAATGGAAAGAGAAATTGGATCCAGGGCATATACAAAAGATTCAGACATACTAGGTAATTATTGGGATTAACTTTTAGCACAATTTTTGGTAACCGCCTGTATTAGAAACCTTGAGCTTTAATCAAAAACTTCAAAAATTTGACCTAGAAAGCATTCTCTGTTGTAGGATAATAGGAAATTTTCACCCACTCATTTGTTCCATACTGCTCTCCAAAATTACTCAGTATCCTATTTCAATGGTCCTTTAGAGTATTAAAACTCCCTTTATCAATCAATCAACAAGTCCTTATTGCTTGTCTGTGATTTGCCAAGTGCCATGTTTGGCCATTCGAGAAGAACAAAAGAAACCTTTCATTGAGGAATCGCTTACTCTCGGCCAACTGCAGCCACTTCCAAGGGACCCGCCTTGGCAGCAGTGTGCTTGGCCCACGAGCAGGAGAGCACACTTCTCACACCATGCTGGAGCTGCCTGTTTATGTGCCTGCCTCCCCAGTTAAGAGTGGGCCTTCCCCCAGGGCAGGGCCTGTGCCCTGCTTCCCACGGGATCCTAGTGCCCAGTGTGGCACCTGGCACATTAGAATGCCTTCGGTATGTACTCACTGATGAACTTAAGGAAAGGCAACCATCTGAATGCTTTAGTGGCTTTTGAAGCCCTAGCACCTGGATTCTAACACAATCAAAAACTGTTTACAATAATAGTGAGGGGACGAAAACTCTGTGATGCATTTTCCATCCTCCCAGGAGCCTTGTGCTGTGAAACATATTTCAGAGCAGGAAGTGGGACTGATTTTGGAGTTTCTCATGAAAAGTTCCCAACTGGTCTGACCCCAGAAAGAGACCCCTAGAAATCCTCTGAGGAGGCAATATCCTTTCAACACGCCTCGGCCTGCTTCCTGAGACAAGGAAGCTTCTCCTGGCTCTCATCACCCTCATTGAGGGCGGGCTTTGGACAGTCTCTTCCTGCTAGTCTCCACCTGGCACCAGAATGGCCTGGCTTTACAAACAAAACTATCTTCAGCTGGGCACGCACAGTGCCCTGGGCCGAATGACAGCACTGTGGGTGGCAGGGGAGGAGGAGGCTGGCCAGCAGCCAAGGAGGGGCCCTGGTAGCTCCGCGGCCGTGACACTTACCCGGACTGTGGAGAGCCACTGGTGGTACAGCTTATCACTCCCTGGGGAAAGAGGAGGCAGAGAAGCTGGTATTTAGAGAAGTCATACATACGCCCTCAGGAGTTCCTCAAGTTGCTTTCAGCATGCAGGACTCGGAAAGTTCAAAATCTGGAGAACCACACGGAGGCTCGCACGCCCCCTCCCTGAAGGAGCTGCTACCACAGGTTTCTTTCTCAGAGCGCTACCTGATTCTATCAGTGTCCTGAGTACAAACCCAAACCCTCCTCCTTGCCTACTGGATAGAGGTCAGAGCCCTTAACAACCCCGCTTCTCTTCCTCCATCCTGTCTTGGCACTGCCCACCCTCTGCCCCGCGCTATGCTACCATCCTGTACAACCTCAGGCTCCCTGACCGTGCACCCTTCAAGCCGTCCAAGCCCTCACTACCGCTGTTCCCGTCTGGCCAGCATTCCCTGCTCTCTCTGCTGCATACACTCAGCGACCAGCTCAGTCATTTCCTCTGTGAGTTTCTCCCACTCCTTCCTCTGAACAGCCCTCTAGAATAGGTAACACCGATAGGTCCGTGCTCTCTCAAATTCTGTGAGTCACACCAGGGCAGGAACCACAGGGCTGTGTGTCCAGTAAGCACACATTCGGCCCTCCTTACGCTCAAGTAGTACCAAGAAACGGAAGAGAGGGCATTGTGGGTAACGGATTCATTTTATCTGGTGGGATAAGGATGTCTTATCAGCAGACAGCTTTTCTAGAAGACTGAATGACTCGACTTAGCTTATCAACACCTGAAGCCTGTCTTCTCCCCAGAACCCATCAATTCAACTGTTAGGACATTTCTCAAACTTGCCTCCGTTGTAAAGCTCTCATGTTACAGAGTGAGCATTAATAGTGCCCTATCCTACCTGCACAAAGACCTGTGTGTGCTTCTTTTCCTGCAATGGTTTAGTTTGTATTTATCTTTAGTTGTGAGTTTTCTCCTGGCAGTCTAAAAGTTCCCTGAAGGCAGAACTGGGCCCCCTCTCATTCCTACTGTACAGAGTTGTGCTCACAGAAGGCATTCAGGAAACGCTCACCAATGATTTGCACACTGGTTTTATTGATTACTGTGCTCTCCACGCAGCACAGGTTAGTCAGGCCTGACAAAGGGGTTCGTAGGTGAGATAATGCCTGGCTCTATGAATTTATGCCCTGCCAGTTAGATTATCCAGCACAGTCCAGACCAGACACATGCCCAGCAATAAGAGGGGGCCTGGAGCTGACTACCATTGTTTTGCATTTAGCTTTACTTTGCCGACAAAGGCTCTGAGACTGGGAAAGGTGGACAGATTGGGATTCAGGAGGCAAGGTCAGCCTCTAACATTTCTCTGGGCCTCAGATGCTTCTTCTGAATAAATGAGAGCCTGATTCCTCTGGTTCAAAAAGGGCACCCTGTGATGATCTTTACACCATCAAGAAACATGTAGCGATCCTGTGCCAGGGTCTATCCTGGGTGTCTGCACACACTTTTCCTCAGGGTCTCTGATTTCAACTCAACAGGACTCCTGTGAGGTAGGCACTGTTACAATCCATGCACGGATAACAACACTTCAGCTAAAAGAGGTGAAATGACTTGACCAAGTCCTCACTGCGAGGCAGTAAATCCAGGTCTCCTAATTCAATACCTGGTATGCTTTCCACTGCATTGTGGGGGCCACTAGGTTATCTAGACTTCACCCACCTGGGGAGAAGCAAGTGACCCCAAGATGCAGGACTTTAGTTGGACCAGTGCACATCTCATCAAAAAGGGAACGGAATTCCTCCAACGTTTCAAGGCCAAGTTGGAAATCAGTCTCTCTTTCATCCCCAGTGAAGGAAAAAAGAAATCATGGCCACTCCTTGTGAACACACCCCAATCCCACACACAGATCACAGATTATAAAGAAAAATGAACTGCCCTCACCGGCATACTCGCCCATGTTGATCTCCTCTTCAAAAACATCACTGAAGCCCTCGCCGGAATTGAGAAGGTCTAATCTACCATCTATAAACTATACAAAGAAAGAACAAAAGCATAACAGCTAGTACAGAGAAACAGAGGAAGGCCATTCAGCTGGGCTCCTTAGTATATGACCAAAGAACCAAGACAGGAAAAGGCCTTTGGAATTGTGAGGTTAAAAACCTGGCTGGGTGTTTATGATAACTTGTAAAACTGTATGGCGTATGTGCAAAGGCACTGTCTGGTGGCTAAGCACCCTCCTGACTCAGTCTCCCTCCCCAGACCCTGGGCCTGTTTGCACTGAGTCCCATCCATGTCTTCAGCCTCAGTGCTTAGAGTGGAGGTGGCTGCAGAAACCCCACCGGGGCCCCAGAGGCGGACCAGGGGAGGGAGGCCGGGCACCTGTTTGAAGAGCTGCAGCTGGGTGGCGTTCTGCAGGAACTGCCTCATGGCTCCTGAGCGATAGTGCGACACGAAGGCTTCCTCACAGAAGGTGATTGGCTCCTCCTGGGAGATGGAGATGAGACGGAGAGAGGAGGGTTAGAGGGAAGGAGCGAGAGCCATCAGGGCTTGAGCTCTGGCAGGTGGCACTCCTGCATCTGCTGATGTATGTCATCCTCACAGACCTGTGAAGTGGCTGTTATCCTGGTGGCATTCTACTCTACGGATGAGGAAGCTATTTCAGAGAGCATGAGACATCTCCCAAGGTCACAGAGCTGATAGGAGGCAGGGTGGGAATGAAAGGCAGGATTCCAAACCCCAGCTGCTTCCATATTAGCCACAGTCACACCCCAACAGCAAGTTATGAGACGTGCCCTTTACCGGGATGATTCCCAAACTTTTCTTTGCACTCTTAGGAGAGGAACCCGCTCTTTGAATATCAAAGAGCTCTTTGGATATCTCCTTCTTTATGCAGAAGGAGCCCTGCTACCTTCAATAACCCAGCTGCTCTGGGGGTGGGGATGCTGGCTGGACTCTCCTTGCTGGGGGGGTCTTCTCGCCACCCCGTGCCCCTCCCCCCATCCCACACCTTTGCAGTCCCTAAGGCAGTCGAACACAGTTTGAAAACCATTTATAGAATGATCTTAACCAGTAGCAAGTTATAATTTTAAAATAATAACCAGGGATGATCAAAAATAAGATTTTATCACCCAGGTAACTTTGTGCTTATGCTGTTTGATAAGGAAGTTTGCTTTTACCGAACCACATTTTATGAGTCAAGAAAACGACACCCTAAGCTTAAAAAACCACCCATCTTTGTAGTCAACACCTCAATCCTTCTTTGAAGGTATTTGGAGTACTCATCTTCACAGACAAGGCTTTAATTTCAACAGTGTATTCTCAATTCTGAAAGATCAGACTTCTATATCTTGAACTGAATTAAAGGTACCCCTCCTCTCACAGACTTGGTGGCAAACACAGATGTTTGAAGCTCCACTTTCATCCTGCTTTAATGAGTTAGGTGAGTGTTAAATTTACTGTGTAGCTGCTGTAAATTCCGAGTCCCTCCTGCTTAAATACAGTCAATATTAGCTCAGCAACTGGGCAGACTTACTGCACAAGGATGACCCTAAAATAATAGAGTAAGGGGAATATTTATTTGTAAACAGTTGTACTCCACCTAGTTTTACAAAGGAACTGAGGTCCCTAAAACAAAGAAGAAAATTGGTGCTGGAAAATACATAAACATATAAAATGTATTTATTTGTGAAAAGAGCATTTGGATATGCAGGTCCTATGTGGTTTCTAAAATTAAGTTACAGGGACTTTCCTGTGGACCAGGGGCTAAGACTCTGTAGGCCCAATGCAGGGTGCCTGGGTTCAATCTCTGGTCAGGGAACTAGATCCCACGTGTCACTGTAAAAGTCTGCATGCTTCGACTAAAGATCCTACATGCCACAATTAAGACCTGATACAGCCAAATAAATAAACATTCTTAAAATGAAATAAAAAGTTACAAAACTAGCTCTGAGCTTCCCGGCTGCCAAAGCAAGAAGGGAAGAATGCAAATATTACACTGTCTATGAGGAGAAAAACACACATCAGTTCCTCAGGGGAAAGAGTTTTCATGACATTTATTACTTTGGCATGAAATTTATACCTTCCTTGCTGAAAAGTGGAAAGATCAACCAGTGAGAACCAACAGAAGCCCACCTGGAATTCGATTCCTGTGGTCTGGAAGTTTCTCACCCTTGGAACCACAGCAGGGCAATTAATTCTCTCTCCAGGAGGTCTCAACCATGAGCACAATGTCACTCATACACTGATCACTGCTAATAAACACTGTCAGTTCAGACTTCTCTCATTCCAAACTCATGTCTCAATCCCCACCTTGATGGAACCTCAAACTCAGAATGGCCCCAAAACTCCCAATTACTATTCCATCTGGACTGCACTCTAAATCTGTTTTTCTTTCTGGAGTTATCATCATCCATGGCTGCTCACAGTACTGTCCCCTTTTCCCAGGGCAACGTCTCATCAGCCTGTCCCCTGCTCTCCATCCCTTGGCACAGGCCTGACTGCCGTGGTAGGTGTTCAATTTTATGTTGCTCTCCTCTTTTGTTCCACCCCAACCACTTTAATTCTTCCGGCCAGAGTAATTTCTAAAATGCAAATTGGATCACGTCACTATCCTACTCAAGGACTGTGTGGATGTTACATTTGTGTGCTTATTTAATCTTTGCACTAGACTATAAGCTTCATGAGGGCAGCAGCAGTCCCCAGCTTTCTCTCCCAGAGTCCTTCTGTGTCACTTTCCTATGTTCTCCTGTACACCTTATGCTTCAAATGCATCTTCTAGTCACAGGCCAGGTCTTTCCCACTTCCTCCTATGCTTCTGCCAGCTCTGCTCCTTCTACCTGGGCCATCATCCTTTAAACCCAGGCCTGTGTGTGGCAGTCACACACCCCTACTCAGTGCTTCCACAGTGCCTGGTACATCCTGGGTGCAGAGTAATCTTCACTGGTGTCCCCATGACCAGGAGTTCGAGAGGGCAGAGGCCCTGCTGGACTCACTACTATACTCCTAGCCCTTAGGTAGAACCTCAGGGATATTGGTTAAAGAACCACAGAATGTGCGTGGCCCTGGTTTCTGTAATAGGAGCCCTGCAGTCTCCGTGTGGCTGAGATAGTGCTTAGCCTGATGGTAAAGAGGTCTCAGAGCACGGGGCCTGATGAGTGACGCTTGTGTCCAGGCAGCTTAGAGCTGCTCAGAGGATATGCTCATTGGAGCTGTGAGCATTCATTCCTGGAGCTTTGGCCCAGCATTGCCAGGAAGAAGAAGTCTGCTGAGGGATCAAAAAATTCAAATTTGCAATCAGATTTGTATGGAAGAGCAGACTAAGGCAGGCTTTAGCTGTAGGAGAGCAGAAAGAATCTCATCTTTGGGGAGACATGAACATTTTGGGGCCTGTCATCTATTTACTGGAGATGACATCCCCCTGGTCAGATGTCTGTGCCATAGAAACAAACTGAAGGACATGGGCATGGATGGGAAGGACTCAGGGGAAATGTGACAGAGGGGGCCTTTCTCGCAGAGAGCTCAGAGAACATCAGCAGTTTCAGCTGAGCATGGAAACAAGTACTGCCTACAGTGTCGCGCTGCTGGGCTGGGTGGCAAAATATCCACCAGAGTCAGAGAGGAAAAGGCTAATCCTTTCGGGGCAGTAGGTGTGAACATGGGAGAAGTGGACACGTTCAGTGGAGCTTGGGAGGGTAAGGGTTAGGTGAGCCGTTCCCACCCATCAGGGCAACCGTCCTGCCCTAACCCGGTGCTATTACCAGAGGCACGTGTAAGGTCTGACCGGCAGCAGGCACAGAGGGTGCCTTCCCTGGCAGTACTCATCTTCTAAGGAAGTGCGCATGCTCACGGTTCACCTGATCCTTACAGAGGAGCAGGTCACATGACCTGCACAGGGCAGAGTCTGAGTTTTACACAAGGTGGCTTCTGAAGCCCAGCTTTCTCGTGTATGGTCTGCTGTAGACTCGGGCCTTTCTCGAAGGCCTCAATTCTGTCTGCCCTTGGACACCTTCTGGTGATCACAAGCGTTCTCTTCAAAGTGGGAGCCCCTCACATTCTCCGAGTGGACACCCAAGCCCCTCAGAGATGAACTGCTCCCAGGAGGGAGGAGGTGAACTGCGGTGAAGGTCCTTTCTGCCATAGGCCCAACTCAATGCCTACCCATTTGCACTCGCTTGTCCATTCTGCCACAGGCCCAGCTCAATGCCGACCCATTTGCACTCGCTTGTCCACCCACTCCTGCAGTTGAAATGGCCGCCCCCATTTTGCTCTCTGCAGCGGTGGAGGGGAGTAGGTAAGGTGTCTTGTTAATTCCCTCCTTTGTAAGAAGTGCTGATTTAGTTCTCCTGTTAGGCTGATTAAACCTTTTGTCTTCTTGGGCGACACTCAAGGCGCTGGGGTTACTGACTGAGAGCGATTTTAATTCAGGCAAGTCAGGCCGTGAGCATTCAAGCTCAGATCACATTAGTAGAGTTTTCCGTCCCTGACCCGAAGGACGGTTAAACACAACTGCTTAACCCTATCAAAGACTTGGTTACAAAAAGACAAGTTTTACTCTTGGATTATCTTCTTGACACATGGAATCAATCAAAAATTACATTATTGATGAGTCTATCTTTGTTAATAAGTGAAGTTGGTGATTCCAAAGGTTTAATTCCAGAAATAAATGGCTTTTATCCACAGTACTGAGGGTACTGACATAAAAATAAAATCTCTCATCAGATTCTTCAGCATCTTTCCTTGTTCTGCTGATGTATACTGAAAGCATCAAATTCTTATTTTTCTTCATAAATTTAATTTTTAACAAAATTTTATGTGCGTATTTATTCTGCAATTTTAAGAAAAAAATGAGGTGCCCATTCTTTATGGACCTTGCTTAAATTAAAAAAATGATAATTCTGGAAGATTCATCCATCCAAATATTTTGAAACACCTACTGTGTGCCAGGCTCTGAGTTAGAGAAATACAAAGATGAATAAAATATAGTTCCTACAAATAACACTAATAATCAAATGAGGGGTAGGGAGAGGACGAGGTATGTATGGATGATACAAGAATGGCAGAATGTTATGTTTATAGCAGCATTATTCACTAAAGTCAAAAGATGGAAGCAATCCAAGTGTCTACAGGCAAATAAACAAAATATACATACAGTGAAATATTATTCAGCCTTCAAGAAGAAGAGCTTTTTGGACAGTATGAATGAAACTCGAAAGTATTACGCTAAGTGAAATAAGCCAGTAACAAAAGGACAACTCTCTTATCTCTGGAGTTGTCATCTTCATAGGGACAGAAATAGAATGGTGGTTGTCAGGGGCTGAAGGGGGAAGGTGGGGGAGCTGTTGCCTAAAGGGCATAGACTTTGTTTTGCGGAATGAAAAAAGTTCTAGGAATGGTCAGTGGTGATGCTGCATGGCAATGTGAAGTGTGAATATATTTCATGCTCTTGGACTGTCCACCTAAAAATGATTGAACTGGTAAAATTATGT